AGTCTCTAAATTTAATTAGCAGGTGTTTGGTAACCTCTAGGAGTAGTTTCATTAGAGTGGTGTAGGCAGAAGCCATATTTGCAGTGGGAGACTGGGAATTTAAGCTACAAAATGAGGAAGACAAACGAAAAGCTGCTTGCTTAATTTGCTGGCTTTCACTAGTCTGTAAGCTGAAGCCAAGGAAGCAGTACGTGGCAAGGGTCAAACAAGAGAAACCACGAAAAATCAGTGAAAACAAGAGCCCTGTAAACATCAACTTTCCCCTTTACTGTCCTTTTACACTCCTTGAAGCCTTACTTTGCCTTGATTTAAATAGGATTTCCGATTGTACTGCTCTTCCTAGATTGTAACTTCCTTAATGGTGTTTGACCTCCAAATATCTCATGACTTACTGAATCTGACTTTGGGGCTGGAAGTGGTAGAAGATTAGGTCAGAAAAGTAGGTAGAGGGCAGATGATATAGGGCTTTGAATGTGCGAATAAAGGCACTTCGGTATTTGGAGGTCAGAAAGACAGTAAGGTCCAGCAAAGACTGCAGTGGAGGTAAAAGGAAACCAGGTTAAGTGTTCCAGAAGCTAAGGAAAGCCAAATTCAATAACGCAACATTTTCTCCCACCAGATTAGCAAAGACTAAATTATAATAATCAATGCTGGAGAGAGTGCCAAGACAATCATTTTCACTCACTCACGGAGTGCTAACTGGTACAACCCTTTAGGAAAGCAATCAAAACGAACCAAGAATCTGGAAAACACATTTTAAACTCAGTATTGTGCATGTGAGAAAACCCATCTTTAAAAATCCAAAAGAGCTATATGCATATTCACATAGCATCGCCATTGATAGTATTTTAGAAAACTGCTGCACCACACACTAGATGGAAGCGTTCACATTTTCTGACTACCTGCCCTAAGAATAACTCCCCTTAGCCAGTCTTGTTTGCAGCCTTTCCTTTTCCCAATGTCCAGCCTCACCAGCCCTCCTGAACTAAGATATCTTACACCATTTCCTTTTTGACAAGTCACAATTATACTTCCTTTCACTTACTCATAGTTAAACATGGAATCAGACTCAAAGCACGCAAGGGACCTCTGGGAAACATTCAGTCCAATCCCTACTTGCAGATGACACCCTCATTTTACAGAAGCAGCAACAGTCAGCAAGGTTAACATGACTGGCTGGAGAACGAACAAAGAAATGTTTGAGGTCTCTTTGATTTTTCCACGTGACGGATTTAATAATCCCAATTACTCCTGAGCAAAACGATTGGTTAGCCCTCAAAATTCAAAATTCAGAAAATAGTTTTATAAAGTACATAGGAAAATAAAACTGAACGTAAAGCAGAAAATGTCTTAAACAAAACAAAAAGCAGTGCTTTTCTCATTAAAGAGCATTTACTGAGTGTATATTATGTGCCAGGCACCAGAAGTACAAAATATAAGGCAGAGTCCCTACCCTCAGGTCTAGTGAGGAAGGCAGGTTTTAAAAATTATAAACACTGTGAGAAGCAAACACACAAAAATGTGGGGGAATAAATTCCCCCAACCCGAACCAGAAGTAATCTCTGATTCCAAGCACTTTCATTCCTCTCCTTAAAATGCCTTAATCAGGGACGGTTCACCTATGACTCAAGGTGAGTGAACGACAAGCAGAAATTCCATCAAACGAACAAAGCAAAGTGTAGGTATTTCAGGCAAAGGCAAGTGCGTGTGCAAAACTGGGGCAATGAAGAGCAGTTCCATAAACACAATTTTCCTAGTAGCTAAAGCCATCACGTAGGAAAACAGAAATAAAGAGAAAAACAATTTAGTAGGAAGCAGACTAGTTACACGTACCTTGAAAAACTAAACCATGAGTTATAGAGACACACAGGTTAAGCAATATGCAATAAAGCAGGAGGCTCAATAAACATGATGCCTTGAAGCTGCTTTAATAGTTTACAGGAGAAATCAAAATGTGCCTAAAGGGGCAAGAATGAAGAAACGGCTATGAAAGATACTCATGAAATAGAATTTTTAAATATGCAAAGTGACTTCAACCTAGTGCATAAGTGGTAACTTAAGATGGAAAAACACAGAACACAGATGCCAACTGATGCAATATATAAGGTTTTCCTTGTTTTCTGTGGTGGTGCCGGTAAACAATTTCTTTTGACCAACAGAGTCATGTTTAAACATGACCCTCTACCACTAGATGTGAATCTTTTGAGGGCAATTAATAACCACCATTTACTGAGTTAGGTTAGGAATCCAAGGTCCAAAGCCAGGGTTTGCTGGATTCCAAGCCCTATTACCATCACACTTCACTAGATGAAACTGAAGGCCACTAACACTGGGTTTCAACCTATTCACAGCGTTTACTAAAATTATAAACAGGTTCTTGTCCTCAAGTCTAATAGTGGGGACAGAATACCGAGTGAGTAGTCAAGGTTTTCATTTTTTAAAAAATTAATTAATTTATTCATGGCTGTGTTGGGTCTTTCTTGCTGCGCACGGGCTTTCTCTAGTTGCGGTGAGTGGGGGCTACTCTTCATTGCAGTGTGCTGGCTTCTCACTGCAGTGGCTTCTCTTGTTGCGGAGCACAGACTCTAAGTGTGTGGGCTTCAGTAGTTGCGGCACGCAGGCTCAGTAGTTGTGGCGCACAGGCTTAGCTGCTCCGTGGCATGTGGGATCTTCCTAGACCAGGGCTCGAACCCGTGTCCCCTGCATTGGTAGGCGGATTCGTAACCACTGCGCCACCAGGGAAGCCCAAGGTTTTCATTTTAAATAAGCTTGCTACAGGTATTATCACAGAATACTGAAGGCAGGGCGATGAGATGTGATCAATTCCCTACTGGATGTTTACCACATCCTATTAAAAATATCCAGGAAGTAACAAAACCTAAAATGGTGTTCCAACTAGACAAAGTAGCTTTAAAATATTCCTATTAATATGAAGCAATATAGAACTGATGACTAAAATCCGATTATGCAGCCAGATTGCCTGGGTTTGAGTCTTTGCCCAACACCATGCACCTGTAGCCTCAGGCAAGTTACTTGTGCCTCAGCTTCATGTAAAATGAGCAAAACAAAACTTATTTCAAGTTTTTTACGAGTACATTATGTAAAGTGCTTAGAATGCCACATAACATATTCGATGCTATATAAATACTTACCCAGTTTAAATAAAAAAGGTATTCCAGTTTTTAACACTTTTCTGAGCCCTGCTGCACGAAAGGTCTGAACAACTCAGAACGTGTAACTCACAAAGGACCAGGAAGGGGCTTTAAACCATGTATATTTAAATAGTAGGCTTCAAAGGTAAGTTCTTGATCCTCAAAACACAGCTACTTAATTTATGATGCAATTATGAGCATCAACTTTTCCTGAGCTTAATTATAACAAATAACTTTCATTCATTTAAAATCCTTTGTTCATAGGAATTGAGACTATTTTCAAACTAGGACAAATATTTTATAAGTAATATCTAGCAGTTTATTAACCAATGGAGTATAGCACAACAAACTACCTCATATCTTTCAGGAATAAAAACCACTAAATTTGAAAAGTAAAAAGATGTCACCCACTGAATTCGGACACAATTAAAATGTGCTTTAAATATTTGTTTGGGGAAGGGGGTCGCACACTTCTACTCAATTAAGAGAAACATTTACACAGTCCAGGTCTTTTATTTTCTTTACACCCATCATGCCATGAATTCATAGGGAATGGGCTCCAACAGTTCAGGCTCCTTTCCGTTGGTTCTCACGAAGTGTGCTTCTCTGGGTGGAGCAGGCTATTAAAAAAAGGCGAGGGACAAATTATTAAAAATACTGCAACTCAATTTCAAAGTGCTCCCAGGACTAATAATGTACGTAATACCAAGAAACGCTGCCAAGCACTCACCTGGCGCTTCAGCTGAACCCAAGTCCCTTTCTCTTTGGCTTCCTTCTTTTTCTGGTCATTCTCCTTCACCCGCTTCAGGAAGCTGTCCCGGCTCTTAGAGTGCTTAATATGTTCGATACGCACATTAATTCTCTTGGCAAGAATCTTGCCCCTGGAGAGAGAAGAAACTCTTAAGTGCATCAAAAACACAGCTAAAATTCAGAGAATTCTTTCGACAGTTTCATTTATTAATTAAACCGTGAATATTTTTTTACCCACAGATAGGATAAATCAACAAGGTGATGGCAAATTTATCATCATTTATTAAACCTTACTGAATAGGGCTTTGAGGCAAACATCCCCACTTTTTTGTTTGTTTTTTGCGGTACGCGGGCCTCTCACCGCTGCGGCCTCTCCCGCTGAGGAGCACAGGCTCCGGACGCGCAAGCCCAGCGGCCACGGCCCACGGGCCCAGCCGCTCCGCGGCACGTGGGATCCTCCCGGACCGGGGCATGAACCCACGCCCCCTGCATCGGCAGGTGGACTCCCAACCACTGCGCCACCAGGGAAGCCCAAACACCCCCACTTTTAAGCTCTCTTCTGATGAGGTGACAGACTCTAAAATACCAAATAATTTTAGCAAAACCAGACCACTAATAAAATTTACAACTTATTAAACTTTTTACACTGTGAAAACCAGAACGGCTTAGCTAACAAACCTCACAAGACTTTCCAGTAAGTTTATTACAATTTGTTTCCTCTGACAGGTTACAAGACAAACACCCAGTTTGCTTGAGTTTTAAAAGGGTATTTCCTTTGCCCCACTTGAATGACCAATAAAGACATAAGTCCAACTGGCAAAGTGAAAGGGGGGTGTGAGGGAATACTAAGCAGGCTCAAAGAACTATGACATTACTTACTTAACTTGTTTGTTTACAATGATGCCAACAGCATGCTGGGTAACATTGTAGACTCTCCCAGTTTTGCCATGGTAACATTTGTGGGGCATTCCTTTTTGAACAGTGCCCATTCCCTGTTAAGAAAGGAGATAAATGTTATGCCAGCAATTTCCCCCTCCATTTAAATCCAAAGTAACTAAGATATTCCAAGATTTTTTTTCCTTTAGATGGCAACTCAAGAGCTTTCAGAGCCGGTGAAATGTCATTTTCACGTTGCTTTTAGCAATCAAAAAGACAATCATCATTAAGCTCTAGAGTGCCAGGACACGTTTAAATACAAATCCACAGGATTTCCCCCCCTTAATTTTTCCACTAGCTGTTAAAAACAAGTAATGAGAAAATTCTTAGACTCAAGAATAGCACTTTTAAAACTCTTGTTTATTAAAGTAAAATTAAAATAGCCATTCTAGGGACTTCCCTGGCGGTGCAGTGGTTACGAACCCGCCTGCCAATGCAGGGGACACGGGTTCGAGCCCGGGTCCAGGAAGATCCCACATGCCACAGAGCAACTAAGCCCGTGCGCCACAACTACTGAGCCTACACTCTAGAGCCCGTGAGCCACAACTACTGAAGCCTGCCCACCTAGAGCCCAAGCTCTGCAACAAGAGAAGCCACTGCAATAAGAAGCCCGCGCACTGCAATGAAGACTTGACAACAAAGACCCAATGCAGCCAAAAAAAAATAAATTTATTACAAAAATAAAAATGTAACATAAAATAGCTACTCTATACTCTCACGAGCTTTTTCAGGAAATGGATTTTCCCCCGATTAGGAAGATAAAAAGATGCAATACACCCTATTCAGATTTTAATATTAAACACAACTTTTCTAACTTCTAATGTTACTCTGTAGTTATTTCCCCAATTTTATAATTTACCTTGATATCTACAATATCGCCTTTCTTGTAGATTCGCATGTATGTGGCCAAAGGAACAACTCCTGCAAAAAAACCAAAAAACGCCAATACAGTCAATATCAAGATTAAAAAGTCAAGAGTAAGAGAAATATATAAGCTTACTAGCTTTCAACACACACTACTTTTTGGCAGTTACGTGTACTTTAAAATCTTGCTAGTCGACAATTTAAGAACCACTATATAAAATTCATGCTTTTTATTTATTACAAATAAGTTAGGTAGATGCTGATTAATTAATGCCATTTATTAAGAACACCTTATATGAACGACAACACACAGGTAATAAAACACAAATGTATGCCACGCCTGCTCCCAAGGAGGGTGGAGTTACTCACCATGTTTTCTAAAAGGCCTAGAGAACATGTAGCGGGTGCCCCTCCTCTTTCCCTTTGTGTTGGTCATTTTGGCGAATTACTGAAACCATAAAGTATCAAAGAGTCAAATACAACTGCAAAATTGACATTTGCCCCTTTAACCAAAAAATGTGTAATTACAAATGCACTAAGTTCAGTAGCAACACGAGAATTAGGCAACTATCTAAAAAGCTGGTTCACGAATCAATAGATCTTATAATGGTAAGAAACAGTAATTTTACCAAGATTTCTGCCCAAACTGCCTAAAACTCCTAAGAAGCAGAACTGGATTTTAGAACCCAAACCAGTATTTTCCCTATTAGAATGTAACAACACAACAGGACTTCTGCCACACTACATCTGTAGAACCCAGCTGAGACTGCCAAGAACACTGGAATTACCAACTAGAAGGCAGTTTATTGTTGCAAAGCACGACAAAACTCAGTCTTGCATGTATACATAATGGATTAAACCCCTTTTCTTATCAACCTACGGATTTCTCTAATACCGCACCTATTAACTGTCAAAAATCTCTAACTTACTTCATATATCTAATTACTCAGTTGTTTACCAGAAAATGTGAGGTAGAAGGCTTTATAATCACTGACCTGATTTTGACATAGGTTTTGCCACTTACCTGCGGCGAGACCAACATTTAAACCCTGATCCTCATATGTAAAAGTCTTAATACTTTTATAATCAACTAAGGTAATGTCTACAAAACATTGAGCAATTCCTAGCACATGCAAAGCGCTTACTAGTAAACAGTACTTTATCACTGCCTAAGAACTCACCTATAGGCTACTGAGTTGAACCTTTCACTTTGTTTCCCAAAAGGTCAAAATAACGGTTTTAATTGCCTCAGATCATCCAAGGGCAGAACTACCATTGCTGACTACTCCTACCACAAGGCAAAATACACCAAAGACCAGCTTAGGTTGTCGACAACGTTCTAATGTAAGTCAACCTCTCAATTTATTACATCTTAACCGTAAAGAAAAGTGACTCCTAAGTACCTTTTTCATATAACCTGTGTGGCAAGGAGACCGAATAGCCCATCAAAGCCAAATCACTGTTACAACGAATGCACACTTCACTTTAAATGGTGAGAAGAATCTATCAAGTACGAGTACTGTTTTAATTCTCATGGCTACATTTGCATTAAGTTCATGTAAACTCCCCTTAAGTTCATAAACAAGGAGATATGCTCTGCAGGTCAACTCACTTCACGGAGACACAAAGTGACAGAATCAGTAATATAAGTCCTTTCGTTTTTCTTTTTTAATAAATTTATTTAAAAAATTTTTGGCCATGTTGGGTCTTCGTTGTCGTGCACCGGCTCTCTCTAATTGCAGCGAGTGGGGGCTTTTCTCATTGCAGAGCACGGGCTCTAGGTGCGCGGGCTTCAGTAGTTGCGGCTCGTGGGTTCTAGAGCACAGGCTCAGCAGTTGTGGCACACGGGCTCAGTAGTTGTGGCTCGTAGGCTCTAGAGGGCAGGCTCAGTAGTTGTGGTGCACGGGTTTGCTTGCTCTGCGGCCTGTGGGATCTTCCCGGACCAGAGCTCCAACCCGTGTCGCCTGCACTGGCAAGCGGATTCTTAACCACTGCACCACCAGGGAAGCCCTGGAAGTCCTTTCTGACTCCAGAGCCCACGCTCCTTCCACTAGACCCATTTTTCCAAGTTCGAAATCCATCAGGACCCAATACACATATAATCGAGTGAGTTTTTAAAAATACGTAACGTCCCAAGCAATGACGATTTAAAGTCTATAATACTACCAAAAATGGGACCCATTACAGGGGCGCAACCCGCTGTTTCCTCAACTCTGGTAGCTGGCTGCTACAAACTAGACACAGATGCAAAACTAAGACTAAGAGGTTATTCAGTTAACTTTCCCCCTAAACGCCTAATTCAGGAATCCCTTCGCTTAACACTTGCTGCCCTGGCATGAACAAAACAATAACCGTGGCAAACAAAGTATTTTCCCTTTTTCCAATTGCGGTCCCGGGCCAGAATTAAGAGAACCGGAAATCTCCCACGTCAACGACGAATGGGCTGGGCTTCTTCACCCAGGGCGACTCAGGGGCACCTCTGCAGTTCTCCGACCACGACCCCCGACTTTCTCACACACACACCCTGGTCTCAAGAGAGATTAAAGCCGGCGCCTGGTTCTCAACCCGCTCCTACTGCCCCGAAGCCCCTACCCCAGGGCATTACAGTTTAGGTCCTACAACAGGGGTTACGATGCCACACTGAAGGCGTTGGAAAAGCAAGCGGCCACGCGGCGCCAGAGCCGACCCGAGAAAGCCCAGGAGAGACGGGCTGAAGCCGTGGGGGCGCGGGAAGGACGAATTCCTTTCCCGATGGACCAGAATCGCCTCACCCCGGTGCCTCGGCCTCGTTTTTCCAGAGCCTGTCCCCCCGCAAACCCACGGCATCGCAGCCTGGTCCCCGGCCCCGCGCCCGCCGCGCCGAGTCTGGACGGACACAGCTCCACCGCCCAGGCCAGCGGGCCCCAGGCTGGCTAGATGATCTCCCTAGGGCTCCAATGCACGGCCTCAGCGGCCACAGGGCTGCGACTCACGCCTGAGGAACAGGGGGAGGGACAAGAAGCTCCGGGAGCCACGCGCGAACTGTACCTGAAAGATGGCGGTTCCGGCCGAAAAGAAGGAGGCGGTGCCGCGCGCGCGCCTTACAAGGGCCTACGGGCTGCCCGCGGCGCTGCCTGAGAAAACGCCGGCCGACAGCCACTCTTTCCTGGGTAAGGGTGTCGTCTCTGAGAACCAGAAGAACCTGTGAGGATATTTTCCTTTCTTGCGAAAAAGAGGTAACCGACCGACACAAGCTGACACTTGGATCTTGCCAGACAGCCCGGAAAGGGGCCTTCAAGGGCGTCAAACAGGCGCAGACGTCGCGAGCGTGATGACGTCAGCCCTTGCGTCAGACACCACGCGCGAAATGGGCGTGTGCCTGCGTCCTCGGGCGTTGGAGCCGTCTGGTCTTATGTTGTCTGAGCTCTTTTCTGTGCTCCGAACTGCAGTTTGTGGGAATGGTTACGTGGACACAAAAGCAAAATTATGGTGAAGAAAGCATGTTGTACGGTTTATATGTCTTTCAAACGTTTTTCCCCTCAATGCGTCTAAACTCTTCGCATTTGCTGGTAGGTACGTACCCCTGTTACAACCACTTTGCGAAGCAATTTGGCAAAATCTAGTGAAAACGAAAATATGCAAATACCAAATTCCAGCATTACGCTCCTAACTGCTTATCTTATGGGAACTTTGCTATGTAGACAAGGATATCCACAACAGCACTAGGAATAGAAGCAAAAAGTTGGAAATGTCCACCAATAAGAGCATAAACCCGTTATGGGGTGTTCATACGGTGGAATATTATATGCCAGTAAGTCAAGACTGAGCCCGCAAATGTGATGAAACAAAAAGAGGGACATGTGGAACATAATAGGACAATTTATACACGTACAATTTTGAAACATGCAAAACAATACTATATATTGCTTAGGCATATATGCATATGTAGTGAAAGTAGTCAAGAAATACAAGGGGATGAAAATCAAATTTAGAAAAGTGGTCTTGTCTGGTAGGAAGGGGACTGTAAAGAAAGGGGTATACAGGAGGCTTTAACTATTTTGACTAATTTTAAGCTGGTTATTGAATACATGGGAGGTGATTGTTTATTCATCACTATACTTTTTAATAAATATTTTCTAAATATTTTGAATCAGTATTAATAAATATTAATAGTTTTTAAAGGGTAGTCTTAGATTTAGCAAAAAATTTTTTTAGAAAAATGGTACAGAGAATTCCCATATACTTGGCACCCAGTTTACCCTATTGTGAACATCTTAACATCAGTATGCTACAGTTTCAATTAGTGACACAATATTGTACATTTTTTTAAATTAATTAATTTATTTTTGCCTGTGTTGAGTCTTCATCGCTGCACACGGGTTTTCTGTAG